TTAACTCAGGTTTGATTTTGTATTCTTTTCTTTCCTGTTTAAGTGATTGAAAACTGATAATGTGATCGGTTCCTGGAGTTGAAATTTCGATTTTCTCTTTTGTCTCTTAGGTACAGACCAATTACACCTTTTTTGAATTTTTTCGTCAAGTCGAAATTTTTCTCTTTTGCGCGGACACTGACAGCTTTTTTTTTCTTGTTTATTAGTTGGGAACTGATATTTTGATCGATTCTTGGAGTTGGAATTTCGATTTTCGGTTTTATCTCTTGGATACAGTATTTTCTTTTATAAACAACGTTTCGACACATTACCGAGCTATGGATACTTTAAAAACTTTCTAATACGTTTAAAAACATTAATTAAAAATTTACGTGCATAGAAACAAAAAAAAGATTTTGAAAAACAATCAAAAAAAGTTAATAGCATGTAAATTAAAGAAAAAAAAGCACTTTGATTTTGATTGACAACGCTCCAAGTTACGCGCTCCATTGAGAATAGTGTGCGCCCCTTTTTGCGTAAACCCCGTTTTAGAACGCTGTGTTTCATTCAATTGTATCGTTCTCGCGAGCAAAATACGATGGTTACTACATACAAAATTATAAACTGATTCGATTTTTTGAAATTCTTATTCATTTTCTTGGATCCAAAATAACTTCATATAACCAAATGGACGAAACTAAAATCATAAGTAATCGGAAAATGAAGAAAACGCCAAAAGTTCAAATTTCCCGCGTCCGCATTCATTCATGGTATATGCCGTGTTCAAAGTGATTCCGCGAAATTCAAAATAGCCGTCAGAGAAAGAGAAAGATAACTAAATTTTGGAGGGTCAGAGACCATTTTGCATTTCGCGGAAATTACTTTGAACACGGCAATACATTCGAACAATAAAAGCAGCGTCCTGCATTTGCGCGTTGGCGAAATTGTGCATTCACCGACCAAAGGAAACTTCGAATTCGCAATGTTTTCAAAGCAAAAATAGCGTAAAACATTTTTGAAATGAGTCAAAACGTTCAGTAATGTACTTCGGAAGACAAAATAGAACTTCACATTCTTTTCCAGAACACAAAAATTATTTTAGTCGCGCCAGACTCCCACTATCAGGATTTCACTGGAAAACACGTTCAAATTCGGGAAATTCACCTGAATAGTACTTGAATGTCACGGCGTTTTTTTTATTACGCGAGGTCAAGACTTCTCGTAAATTATGATGGTTAGGGTGTAAGCACACCGAGACGCACTATCGCATACTCAAAAATTGTTTTTTCAATTTAAGAATTTGCAATTTTAGGATAATAACTTCTGAAATGTTCGGAATCTTGTCAGTTTGAAGAATATGTTGTGAAAAAACATTCACTTACGTTAAAAATTTAGGAATCATTTCGGAAGGGGAAAAACTCTATATTACTGATTACAAAATAAAAACAAAAAATATTATGAAGGTGAATCAGCTCCCATTGAATAAGCAATTATGAAAATGAAAAAGATTGAAATGAGGAAAATTCGAGGAGCAAATGGAAAAAAGAAAAATCGGATATTTTTCGCGACCACTGCCTAGCTGTGATTTACCAAAAGAATCTCGGATTATGAAAAAAAAATGACATTTGGCAATGAAACTAATTAAAACCAAAGAGTTATATAAAAAGAAACGAGCAAAATCAGCGAAAACTGTGAACAAAAAAATTGACGAATTTTCAAAAACTAACTCCTCACTCAGTTTTGAACGAAATTCCATGGAACCGCTTTCAATAGACGTGTAATATGCTACTATTTCACAATATGGACATCTCGCAAAACCCAAACATGAATAGACAGAGAATAATTTGAAAAACCACCGAAAAATGACATAAAAACCGAAAAAAATTTGAATTTCGCGGGGGCCTGCACAAAGTGCGCTCCATCGGTCGGCGGCAATCTTTTTACATTTGCTTTCACTGCGTGGAACGCCGTGATGTGGATTTTAATGAGTTGAGCGCATTTAAAAGTACTGTATTGCTACAAGAATGATCATAAAAAGTCATTAATAAATAGTTTATTTGTGTTTTTATGGATTCACAACCTTTTATTGGTTCTGAATTCTGTATCGTGTCTTTTTTAAGGGAGAATTTGCGTTTATCCATGCTTCCTAATGATATTTTAACAGTTTTAAACATCAAAAGCATTGAAAACTTCGTAAATATTAATTTTGCTTTTTTGGCCGCTGAAAATCGTTCAACTTATTCTTTTTCAGTGTTTATTTTTGCTGGTCCTCATCTTTGGACATTGTTCTATCATTTCCAATAATGAAAAACCATCATTACTGTGTTTTTAGTGCGAAAAAAACTAACAAGAAACTTTTTTTCTCTAATTTTTTTACTGGTCTTTGAGAGCGCGCCGCACCCTTGCAACGCCCACTTTTTTCGCGACCGCGACCAAATTTTCTACAGAGAATTAAAATCGCGAAAAGCGCGCTTTAATGCGTGTAACTTCGTTTAGAGTCGATCTTTTTCCAAGATCTCTTTTTTTAAAAGTTGTCAGGACTATGGGCTTCAAGGCCATATGAAAATCATTGAAATCTAATGGTTTCTAGGAAACTGCCTGCGGTCCCTAACTAAGTGTTCATCAGTGCGCGTGCGCTGAAGGAGCTTTCTTGATCTTTCGAGCCGTTTCTTGATTGTAGTCTTCGAGAGAATGGCTGCTTTTCTTACACGATTACAGGTAAGCTTCAGCTTGTCTCTGACAATCCTTTCCATTAAACTTCGACTAGTTTTCATATTTTTCGCCATCTTTCTGATGCGCGCATAGCGCGAAGCCGACTGTGGCTCACTCCGAAAAAACTGAGCCACAGTGAACAATTCGTCAAATAAATAAAATAGTTGAGTCTCAAAGTTTGAAAATTTGACAGAATAGCCCTTATAAAAACCGACCGAACCGATCAATTTTTCAAACATGCCGTCTGCAACGGCGCGCGAACGTGTTGGTGGACCGACAACCCGGTCGTCCCCGCATGGAAGCGCCGGTCTTCCCCGCCCAGTGCCTGAGTACTTATGATTTTTAGTTCTGTCCATTTGGTTATATGAAGTTATTTTGGATCCAAGAAAATAAATAAGGATTTCAAAAAATTGAATCACTTTATATATAACCTCTTAAACCTCTTAAGGTAGCCAAAGCGAGTTTTTTCATTTTTTCATTTTCAGAGCCGATTTTTGTTTTTTTGTTCTCACATTCTCTCAAACTGTGAGCAGCCGTGTCTGCAAAATACTTCTTGAAAATAAAAATATAGCACGTTCACGGCTGGCTTTGGACATCGAACGGGCGGATCAATTTGCACGGCGAAGGCGAACCGTAACGACTATATGCGCCTTGATAAGAGTTTTAATCAATTATTAGTTTTAGAATTTTTGAAACGATAATGAGACTTTGGCTTCATTCATGATTTAATCCGTGAGGTTTATCTATTTTCCCTTATTGTCTGTGTGGTATAGTCTGTTCATATTCTGAATGTCAAGTGCAATGACGTCATTCAAAAACACTGTGGATGGCTCGCTCTCTGATTTGTTTATCGCACCATTATGGGCGGAGCTTGAGCGACGACTTGACATTCAAAATCTGAACAGACTATATCCAGAGAGCTCTCTCTTGAGTTTTTCTAGAGGGCTTCCATGTTTTCCAACGCTTTAAGTTATATTTGGAAATATTTCCTTGTTTTCCTTATCCAATTTTTTCAATTAATTGGATATTCAGCTTTTTTTCCTGGTATTTTCTCGAAAGTTCACGAGTATTTTTCATGGTTGAAATTGATCTTTTTCATCACCGACCCTTTTTATAGTTTGTTGAATTTTGCGTCCCAGGTGTTTTCGGCTATACACTTTCGATCTTTTGGTTTGCGGGTTTTTCTCCCCATTTTTTTTTTTTGCCTTCTCCATCTTTCCTGTGTATAAAATTTTTAATTTCGAGTCAAATTTTTTTGATTGATTTTTTGAAATGTACTTTGTATATATGGAACCTCTCAAGGTAGCTAAAGCGAACTTTCTAATTATTTCATTTTCAGAGCCGATTTTCATGAATTCGAACACCAAAAAAATTAAAACGTTTATTTAGGAAAATACGAGTAGTCCATGATCCGTCGTGATTCCTCTCTATGGAGGCAATTTTCTGCGGCTTTAATAGGTGGCAAGTGTGCGGCCCGGATCGACCAACTCATAAACGTCCTGTAAAATATGTCGACTCATTAGATTTTTGACGGATTTTCAATTTTTCTACCCTATTTTCATACTAAGTTTAGAGTTATCAAGGTTTCCACTACTAGAAAAAACGTGGTTGCACTGGAAATGGCTCAATGGTACTTGAGGTCTCCACGCTCAAGCCGTTTCCGGTCGGGCGTTCGTTTAAAGGAATCGGTTTTCTTGGAACCATTTCCAGTGTTACCATTAGGCTCCAATGGACAAGACAAAGAATAAACCAAAATATCACCTCCGTTGCAATTATCGGCTGCAGGTTGTCCCCATTTCCGGCCTCCAACGCACTTTCAACCTCTCCGTTTTCCTCCGGAATCGCCTGTGAAAAAAAAACATTTTCGAAAAAAAATTTGAATTTCTAACCTCTTCCAAACAGTTGACAAGGGCATCGAGAAAATCGACTATCTGAAGATTTTTCAAAAGTTTTTAATCCCTTTTTGAAAATTCCATTCTACTCTATTTTTTTATTCTGTTGTTAATCAATTTTTTTCAAGTATCGAGAAAAAAATAGCCGCGAAAATTCTGTTAAAAAAAGTGCATGGCCATTTTTTTGAAAAATCAAAGAAAAAAATCAGTTAGAAGAACTGGAGATTCTCAACTTTCCCGTAAAAGCATTTTTTTACTTTTCGAAAGGCTATAACTCAGTAACTTTAATCGACTTACAATTTTTTGGAAATCACAGTTTTTCAGTTTTAAGGTATTTTGCGTCGAAAATATTCGCCCTGAAAGAAAGTGTATACCTCATTCATTGGTGGCCTGTATATGGGATGGAACGCAAAAATCTTATTCTCCACTAAGACGCGCAGAGGTTCGGGTGCTCTTCCGTGCACACTGAGAATCTTCCCGGCGAGAATCTGCAGAAAAACAGACTTTTTAATAAAATGAAAAACCTAACCTCTTCGCGGGCTTTTTGCTCCCGACATGCCAGCATATGGCATCTGGCAGTTGTTGAATATTTCGCAGATGAGATGCTGTAAAGGTTCTGATTCAGTCAGATAAGAGCAAAAAGCAAACCCCGTAGGCGTAGACGTCCGACTGCGAGCTGAAAGCGTACTCCGTCAAACACTGTGGCGCAAGATAGCGGCTTGGAAGTTTTTCGGGTCCTGACATCTCGTAGTAGTATGCTTTCAGCGACAAGCCGAAACCACCTATCTTTAGCTGAAAAAGGTGGTCAATGTATATTTAGATTCTATGAAAATACCGTTCCATATTCGTCCAACTGGCAGTTGCGGGCGGCTACATCTCTGTGTAGGACGCCAACTTCATGGAGGTAGTCCAGTCCCCTCGCGGCATCGAGACAGAATCTCGTCAAGGTCAGGTTCGACACCTTCTCAGACTTGGTCATGAGGAAGGTGCTCAGAGCGCCACCTTCAAAAAACGATATCAATTCAAAAATTGACGATAAGTTCAAAAGAACAAGACTTCCGCCGAAGATTAGGCGGATATGTGTCAAAAAGTCTAATTGACATCAGCGATCGCAAAATTAACGTGTTTTTCGTTTAAAGTTATATTCCGGAATTTTTTCAAGTTATTTTCAAAGTTATCTGATCTCATAGAGAAATTTCATAGAGATTGGAAGAAATGCTTTTTGAAAGCCTCACCCGGACACAGTTCCATCAGTAGCTGCAGAGGTTTCGTATCGTAACACCACCCTAATGTGCGGACAACATTAGGGTGGTCCAGCGGGATGGAGATTGTTCCTTCAACAAGGAACTTTTCTTCAAGTCCGAGGTGCTCCGGTACGCCTTTCTTCACCTTAAAACCCCAGAAATTGCGTCTTTATTTTGTCCACAGAGCAATTTTTTACGGCAAACTGAATTTTTGACGGGACTCGGACCTCGGTAACATAAAAAAACGCATCTGAGCATTTCTAGTATTCACTTAAGCGCTAACGCCGCTAAAGTGACCTCTAGAAGTGCATTACAAAAGTCCGGAAAGTTCTTCTTCCAATTTATTAATTTTCAACGAAAGTCAAAACTTTAACACCGTACAACGGACAAAAAGATGCTCTACGCAAGTTTATCCCTATTTTTATTCCAATCCATCAAAATGTCTTGAGATCTTAAGAAATCCCAGAATTCAGACTTGTTGCAACTCTTGATCAACACAATAAATTTCGAAATTCAGCTCTAGACGTCTTTTTCGAACTTTCCCTCAATAAATTCGATTTCTCAAGGCCTACCGTTTTCACGACCGCCTTGTCCTGTTCGAAAGCCGGGTGGTTGATCTCCGCAAGCGAAACTTCTCCGAACGCGCCGTTCCCGAGCTGCAAATATTAAGAACGATGACTACAAATCGACAAAAAAACTTATACTTCACATTAAAGGTCTAAATTTCGAAAAGAAGGAGCAAATAAAAAAAATTTTGGAGTTTTTTTGTGCCCCGAAAAAACATTTTCTTTTTGGTCTATTACTTTTTGAAAAAATCCTCACAGTTCTAACTATCTTGATCTGTGAGGAGCGGAAGGATCCGTACTGGCGACTTATCGGGTTCCGAAGATTGAATTTTTGGTCTCCCTGAAAAAGATCGAGTTTTGGAAAGGATAAAAAATCGAATATTTACGCCCTACGCCTACTTTTCATAATTCTTGAAGATTTGGATTTAAAAGCTTCTAAGAGTTTTTATTTGGACGGCTGTTTTTTTTCCGTCAATATGAAAAATTGCGCTCTGCGGCTGGTTTCATCAATTTCCGTGATGAAAATGAAACGATGAAATCTCGAAAAAATCGAAATTTCAGTCGCGATGCTCAAAAGATCCGGGGGCTGTTCTCAGTTCTCTTTAACTTCATGTTGTATGGCCCCATTTAGGCGCTTGGTGTTAACAACTGCGAGAGTATTTCAAAGCATTTTTGCAAACAAAAAATGACAAGTTTAAAATGGCTAACCTCCACTTTCACAAACATGTAGTACGCTAGCAGAGAGTTCAAATTTGAGAAATATTTCTCTCCATCAAGAGAACACCCGTTCTTGTCCTCTATCAACTTCATATGCCGGTAGTTCACGGCAATCGTCTCGCGGAAGGGGGCAGGTCGGGTCTCGGAAAATGCATCCAAGCCTTTCTCTCTGTCTGAAAATAATCAGATTGATGTTGAACCCGTCTTTTTTTTATATTCGTAGACTTGATCGGTTTCTGAGGCTTTGAGACATTTCAAATGCGACCAAGAAGGCTCATAGTTAGAGTTAATAAGGACTAAAATCTAATATTTATATCGTTGATCTTGAAATTCGAGTTGTTTCGAAATTACCACGGCACACAATCATTCTAACTGCTGTGAGTATCTTCGCTTTTAGAATGGCTTTTCGTATAAATTTCTATAAATTTTTTGACAAGGAGAAAAAAATAATTTCTTTTTGTTTTGCTTACTAGAGCCACTTAGAATTGGGCCTTTTGATACTAAAACCATAGATTCACATAAAAAGAGACAGTTTTTCCCAAAAATAAAGAGCTTCAAAGTAGTTTCAGGTCTCCTCACCACCGTCGCCGCCATTGTCCACTTTTTGCTCCGCCTTCTTCGCCAACTGGAATCCTTTCCGCGTGTCTTTCTTCTCGTTTACCTGTCTCAGCTCACTTGATTGCGTGGACGTGAGCGCCACGCTCACGACAACTCTGACCTCGTTCTTGACTGAAAAATGTCGTTTTTCGAAACTTTGTCTCAAAAGTTTCCACCGAATTACCCTCACGAAGACGAATGAGAAAGTCGCCGGACCGAATGAGAAGAGAGGTTGCTTCCAAAGCCGGAATGTACCTGAGGTCGATATTTTGTAGACTTTTCCGGAAGTTAGTTCGAAAACTAACCCATGACAAAAAGGCAGCTTTCGAGCAAGGTCTATCGATGACGGGACCTTTGGGACCTTCACTTCTTCTCGTTTTTCTCGAACTATCTCTATTTCGAAAAGCGCGTTATCGTTTTTTGTACAGATCAAGTTTTGAAAGCCCCTCTTTGTAAACTTCAGTAATACACTTCTTAGTGTAAAAAATGATTCTCGAAGATGTTCTCAAATTTCAGGAAAATCGCGGAAAATCATTTTTCACTTTATTGCAGTTGCCGTTTTTTTTGGAAAAAAAAAGTTCACCATGTTCTTCCGGCTTGCTCTCAGTAACAGTAGGAAGAGGCGCGGCAGGTTTTTTCGCCGGCTTAGCTGTGAGCAATCTGACCTGAAAATATCGAGATGAGAGAAAAAGAATACATTTCAGTATGAACAGGAACTAATTCTGGTGATTTTTTTAATTTCAAGGATCACAGGAAATCCTGGAAACTTCTCTGGAACAGCCTCGAATCATTAGTGAATTAGCTGAGCCCCTCGTGAACTCTAATTCTCAGAAATACAAGTCTCATTAATTTTTTTCAACAATTTTTTTACAAATTAAGGTTTAAATGTTAAATTTTTTTGTTCAAATCCTCAGAAAAATTATAGAAAAAACTGGCTTTCATTCAAATTTTGATTAATCCAGTTTATGAGTCTAAGGTATAGTCTTTTCACAGTCTAGATTCAAAAAAAGCAAGTCCAACATTATCAAAGCTCTTTTTCTGCAAATTTAGGTTTTTTTGAGTGCTCAAAAAAATCACATTTTTTTGAAATAATATATGAACTTGCTTAGGGAACACCGCACACTTTTTAACATTCGAAACCCAACAATCGAAAAAGAAAAGGAACTGCTGGGGTTAGTTAATAAAAAATTAAAAAATATGTCTGGAATGTCCCGATTTCTCTTTAACCTCAATCTTTAGGCGGGTAGAGTTTCTCTTGAAAGCTTAAAGGCCTTCACCGGTAAGACACAAAAAATCCATCTTTTTGTGAAAATAAATTTCGAATGTCGTGAAAATTTTATTATTGCTGCTAACAGCAATGGTGAAGGTTGAAGGTTTTTTTGGAAAAATGACACACAAAACAGTTTCGAACGAAAAAAAGTGCATTTAAAAATAATTATGACGAAATTAACTTCTTTAGAAAAAAACAAGTTTTAAAAAAAGTGTTTCATAGCATTTTACTTTATAAAAGACATATCAAAACATCAGGGATGTTGCTTTTTAGTCAATGAACAGGAAAAATTTTTCGTAGAAATAAATCCGTAAAAAAAGCCGAATTCTTGCAATTTAAATTTTCCAATAAATTTGGGGTGCTATAACTTCGGAACAAGCACGTTAATGCAGAGACGAAACCACTTTAAAAAAACGTGTACTATATCTAAAAAGGGGCAAAATTGACCAAATTAGTGAGGAATTCTGAGTTTCGCGGCAAAATGCAGCAAGCGCGCTCCAAACCTAGCTTCAAAAATTTTACTCTCTGCTCCACTGCGTGGAAACTCCGTGACGTGGCGCCAGGTGTTCACTCGAGGAGCGAGAAGCCTCCAGCAGGCTCCGCCGGGATCCAAACTCACCAGAAACATGTCGATGATGCTTGCGTCGATTGTCGAAAATTGGTTTTAAATGGCTAGATCAGCTGATAATTTCGTTTATATACTCTCGTTCTCATCCACGTGGCATTTTCACGTCAGACGTCTACTTTTTTTTTTTATAACTTGAGGTCAACGTACTGAATATCAAATATTCCACGTGTCAAGAAAATTTTTATGATTTTTTTTTGTGAACCAAGATGACTCAAATACCACTAGATTCAAGGATTGTAAATCGGAACAAAAAGTCGAAAAATTTGCAATTTCTTAACCCCTTTTTGAGTTTTAAAGCCTTTTTTTAAGAACAACAGAAAAATTCAAAAAGTTTGTTGGCTTTTTTTAAGATTTTTATTAGGTCTCTAGGTAGTCGGAATTATTCACTGAGAAGAAAAAAATTCTTATGTGAAGTAATGTCCCTGGCAGAGGCCAGAGACGCAGGGGAAGACCGCCTCCTACCTATAAAAGGCAGGGACGATCTTCAGCTGGGTCGAAGTCTCCCGGCCTGGGCCCATTCCCTCGATTCATATATATTAGGTTGTTTACTAAGTTTTTTTCTTTTTTTGAAGGACTTTTTAAAAAAGTTTTCAACCAGAAAAAGCACTTCTCACAATTTTTGCTTCATATAGTATTTACTACTATACAATCTGAAGTTCAGATTAAAATTAACTGTATTCCTATAACACTATGCAGAAAAAAGATACAGAACTTTTTCCGAACTCGAAAAATCTCGATTTTTGGAAAGTTTTGCGAATTTATTTTTTATCTTACGTTTTCAATCTTATCATTCGAACAAGTTACATAAAACGTCAACTGAGGTCGTGTGCTTGCTCATGAAAGTTTTCGTTTGCTTTCAAAAAATTTGTGAAATGAGTTAATTATTCAAAAGCCAGACCATACAAATTTATGATTGACCAACATTGTTGAAACAATGCGCGTCCTGTTTTCGTTTGATTTTCCCCGAAGTACGTTTGTATTTATCTATCAGGTTTGAGGTTTTGAAAAAATGTAAAGGCACAACATTAACAACCGGCAGCTACCGTGAAACTCGAGGATTATATTTTAAAGCCTTTTTTCATCAAAAAATTTTTATAGCACTAGAGCAGTGGTTTCTATCCACTCTCAAATTTTCTGTTCTTTTGCTATCTCTCAAGTTAATAAAAAAACAAGTACAACAAAGGTCACTGCAGCCATGTGTCAAAGCAGAAGTGGTTCAACTGAGTTTTTCCGGCCTAAAATTTTAAGAAACGGTAATCAACTGAAATGACAGCTTGATGAACTTCTGGAGGCTCTCTGACGGCGTCAAACGTTTAGACCTTCTGAAGAAAACGTGACTGATACAGACCATGTCTGTACTAAATAACCACAAAAAATCAAAATCAACCTCGAAGCCGTTCATGAGAAAAGCGTCTAAATGTTCAGCGACCATGTCATTGTCATTGATCACTTTTAAAGAAAAAAGATTTTCAGGCTGGTTTTTTGTTTGAAAAGTCAGCTTGCCTACTCTATCTGTACTTCCATCCTCCCTCGTTGTCATCAACTACAAAACATTGAATCATAAATGTTTTCAGAAGAAACAAAAAAATGTTTCTAACCAGGTAAGAGGGGTTGAAATCGAGTTTGTTGCCCTTTTTTGAGTACATCATTGCTCGTTTTAAAGTCAGGAACTCCAAAATTAACAGTCATGTTAACAGATAGCTGAGGATGACGGGGGAGAAATTGTTTGCTGTTTGAATCCAAAATTGGAAAGTTATACACCAATAACTTTCAACCGAAAAAAGAAAGAAACTTAGTAAACGACCTAATATTTTATTCTGATTATATTATTTGTAGCTAATGAATATTTAAAAATAAAAGTGATGTAGATAAGATTAAGAAACGCCAGTATTTTATTAATTTCAGTGGAGAAGAGCGGTCGCATTTTATAGGCGGACGCACCGCGCCGGTCGCATTTTGTAAACGCCCAAATAACTAAATAATAGACAAAATTCACTGCCCAAAAAGGAACATGGAGATTTTTCCAAACTTGAAACTAGTAACTAAAAATTCATGTTATGAGCAGCTTTTTACAGTAACCGTTTTGATTGATTTTTCCTTTATTCTTTTAAATTTGCGAAAGAGCAGTTTTGGATTCCAGGCAGGCTTGTGCGTCAGGCCGAACGGCCCGGGCTTTGGGCCTTAATTTTGAGAAAAAGCCAGCGCGGGCTTTCCGCAGTTTTTCTCCTGCATCTCGAGTTATCCGTTTGGAAAATTTGAAGTTACGATCGTGCAACCCTGGCCTGCAACACTCTTCGTGGACTTCTTCGAGGATCTTATTCTCGAAAAAAGACTATCTGTTCAGCAGATGGAATCTCACCTTTTCCCAAGAGCTCACCAAAGTTTCAATTCAATTCGTTCAGAGGTTTAGAAACCAATTGAAAGATCATAAACGCGAACACCATTATAATTTCAATTTTTATTGGGTATAATAATTAATAAGTAAAAATACATGAAAAATTGTGGGTCTTATTTCCGGGCTTGCTGTACAGCGACATCGACAGGCGGTGACTGAGGCCGCTGAACTTGGTTCGAGTCTCTCAAAGACTTCCTGTAAAAGATGTTGGCTCGAAAAATATGATTTTTTTTTGGCTTTTTCAATCAAAAAGAATTTTCATGTCTCCTACCCTATTTAAATACTAAGCTGAGGAAGTATGAAGTTTTCCACGACTAAAAACAGCATGATCGCATTGGAAATGGCTCCTTGATTTCTCATCGCCCAAAGCCGATTCTGGTCGGACGTTCTTTCAAAGGACTCGGTGTGCATGGAGCCATTCCCAGTGTGACCTCTGGGCTTCAATAGACAAGACAAAGATTCACTTCAGTTCAGTGCTCAGCTGCATCGCTTCCTTGTTTTCAGCTCAATCTCAAATGCTGCGTTGTCACCGGATTCGTCTGTAAAAGATCATTTTTATAAAACTTTAAAAAGCCAAACCTCCTTCAAAATGCGATGACCTCTATCTGAACTCGACTATCTAAAACTTCTTTTTCAAACTTTTTGGATTTTTCAAGTATCGAGATAGCGGCGATAGTTATCAAGTTGTGAGTTATAAAACGCATGACCTTTTTCGAAAATCAAAGATGTAATTTAAAGGCTATTTTGCGTCGAATAATGCGCTCTGAGTTTATACCTGGGGCATGGTCGGCCTGATAAAATTGCGTGATGAGGCGAAGATCCTGTTTTTCCACGAAAAAGCTGAAAGAGCTTCAGGTGCTCTTTCGTGAACGTTGACCACTTTTCCCCGCGAGTATCTGCAAAAACGTACTAATTTTGTAAAAAGATCACCTGTTTTTCGGGCCTCCGGTCTGCACATGCCGGCGTAAGGCATTTGACATTTGTTGAACACTTCGCAGACGAGATGCTGTAAAGTTTCCAATTTAGTCAGATATGAGGAAAAACCCCGTAGGCGTGAGACGTCCGATTCGGCCTTAAAGAGTAGCTCGTCAGGCTTTCAGGTGGCAAATGGCCGGGTAGGCAAGTTTTTCCGCGGTAGTCATCTCGCAAAGTAGTGGGCCTTGACCGAAAGCGAAATCTGCTTTGCCTGAAAAATTTGGTGATTCTCTGCAGGTTCCATGAAAATACCGTTCCGTGTTCATCTATAGAGACAGTTTCGTGCGGCTACATCTCACTGTGAGACCCCAACGTCAGTTCAAATACTCTAGTCCTCGCGGCATCGAGGTAGAACCTCGTCAAAGAGTCAGGTTCGAGGCTTTCTCAGACTTAGCCATGAAAAAGTGCTTGAGCTCCACCTTTCAAAAACGATATCAATTCAAAAAGTGACGAGTAAGCTCAAAGAGACAAGACTTCCGCCAAAGCTTTGGAGGCAGAAGAAACGCAATTCATAAATTCGAGAGATTAGGCGGATATGTGTCAAAAGTCTAGTGACATCAGCGATCATAAAGTCTCGTTTAAAAATATTTTTCCGCAATCAAATTATTTTTCGAAGTTAACTAATTTCACGGGACTTTTCACATAGAGATTGGAAAGAGAATGCTTTTGGAAGCCTCACTTACGGACACAGTTCCATCAGTAGCTGCAGAGGGTTTCACGTATCCGTAACACCTGCCACCCTAATGTGCGGACAACATTGGGAGTGGTCAGCATGAGATGGAGGTTAGTTTCGCTGCAACAAGGAACTTTTCTTCAAGTCGAGGTGCTCCGGTACCTTTCTTCACCTTAAAGCCGAGTGCGTCTTTATTTTGTCCACAGAGCAATTTTATCGCGCTACCATAGTTTGACAGAACTCGGACCTCGGTCATGATCGCATCTGAGAATGGTAATCACTTAGCGCTGACGCCGCTAAGGTAAGCCTCACAGGAGTGCATTACGAAAGTCCGAAAGTACTTACAAATTTAATTAATTTTCGACGAAAGTCAAAACTTCAATACACGTACAACAGGACAAAAGACTGCTCTACGCAGATTTGTATCCCTATTTTTATTCCACTTCATCAAAATGTCTTGAGATCCCGAAGAAATCCCAAATTCGAGACTTGTTGCAGCATCTTGATCCAACGCAACAAATTTCGAAATACACGAAAACTCTAGACGTCTTTTTCGGAAAACTTTCGCAATAAAGTTCGATTTCTCAAGGCCTACAATTTTTCACGAGCCGCCTTGTTCTGCGCGAAAGCCGGGTGGTTGATCTCCGCCAGGCAGAAACTTCTCCGAGACGCGCCGATTCCCGAGGCTGCCAAATACTAAGAACGATGACTCCAGATTCGACACATGGCTTTAGCTCAAGTTCAGTTTTGAAAAAGAAGAGCAAATCGAGCACATTTGGTTATTTTTAAACCGAAATGGTTTCGTTCAAAATTCCTCACCGTCTTAACAATCTTGATCTGTAGAGGAGCGGGAAGGATCCGTGCTGGCGACTTATTGGGTTCCGAAGATTAAAATCGCGTGGACCTGAAAGATCGAGTTTTGGAGAGAGTGCCGCAAAAATTCCGAATATTTACGCCCTAAAGCTTTTTAAAGAGTTGTTATTTGGACAGCTTTTTTCCAATCAATCTAAAAATTGCCTTTCAAACTGGGTTCATCGACTTCAGTGATGAAAATGCGTTGATAAGAATCTCGAAAAATCAAATTTCAGTCATACGATGCTCAAAAGATCGGGGGTATTCTCAATTCTCTCTAACTACGTATTGTATGGCCCCATTTAAGGCGCTTGTTATTAACAAATTTGGGTATTTCAAACTTGTTTTGCAAACGAAAAATGACAAGTTAAAATGGCTAACCTCCAAGTTTAAAATGGCTAACCTCCAACTTCACAAACATATAAAACGCGAGCAGAGGTTTAGATTTGAGAAATAGTATTCATCCAAGAACATCCGACTCTTGCTCTCCTCTCACCTCATATGCCGTAGTCTCGGCAACGTCGTCTCTCATGAAGGAGCAGGAGTCAGGTCGCCGGAAGAGCGAGTCAGGCCTTTCCGCTATCTGAAAACTATCTGATTGATGCGTTGGAAGCCAAGGTAATGCTTTTCGAGACTAACGCCTGAAAGGGCCTCGAGACAATTTGTCAGATGAACAGGAAGAGCGGTAAAGTTAGGGTTCGTTAGCGGCTACAATTTATTATTTATACGTTGATCTTGAAATTTAGTTGTTCGAATTCTCAACGTCATTTTAACTAGGGCTAAGTATTTTCGAGTCAATACGACTTTTCGGCCGCATTTTGGAATGGTTTTTCCCTTGACTTTTCGTAACTTGAAAACAATTGTGTCCAGTCCATAAGCCGACCGCTCAGATTATTTTTCAAATGTAGTCAGCTTTATGGAATTTTGTTTTCAACAACTTAGTCACGCACCGTGACACTGATCTCTTCTGAATGCCACCTTGCTCTCAACGAATTAAAAGCCGCATCCGCAACTCGACAAAAGTAATTGCTTTTGTCTCTAAAACTGTAATGCCGTGTTCATTTGATTTCGCGAAATGCAAATGATCTCTGACTCTCCAAAGATTTAAGTGATCTTTTCTCTTTCTAACGGGCATGTACTGCGAGAATCGAATTGAAATACGGCAGGAAATTTGCTACAAAAGAGTTAGTCGGAAAATCTCGACTAAATCTCCATGTTTCACCATCCCCCGTCTCCTAGATCAATAGTGACATCGCTGTCATCCTCTTCGTAATACGGGACTTTCTTCGCCACGCTGGCATCCTTTTCCGCGTGTCTCTCCTTCCTGCCGATCCGTCTCCGCTTGCGGATTTGCGCCGGCGGCGCTTACGCCATTACAACGCGAATCCTGGCCTTTGACTGAAAAGTTTTATTTTTCAAAACTTGATCCCAAAAGCGTTTTCCACCGAATTATCTTTCGTGAGGCGAACCAAAAAGTCTCCTGAGCGAACAAGCAGCTGACTGTCAGAGACGGTACGATAGCTCGAATTTGATCATTTCTACATCGCTTTTCCGGGGATTGACGACGACCCGGTGGCAAATCGCAGCTGTCAGCACGTTCAATCGTCGATATCACTTTGACTTGTTCCGTGCTTCTCTTCTTTCCTGATGAGCGAGAACCCCGTGAACGCGGACTTACATCTCACATGTTCGAGGACCACCGAAGCCTGCCCTTTCGCTGCTGGATTTAATTCAGTATTCAGAATAGAGAAATAAACAAAAACCTCATTTTCATCCCGTGTATAGTCGATTCGTCACGTAATTTAGCGTTGACATATACATTTACTTTGAATATATTTCCGTTTCAATTCAACAAATTTCAACTCGAGTTCGACATAGACTCAAAACTTGTTTTTGAACTATCTCTATTTCTGGAAAAGCGTTATCGTTTTTGGACAGGTCAAATTTTGAAAGCCCCTCTTTGTAAACTTCAGTTATACACTTCTTAGTGTAAAAAATGATTCTCGAAGACGATCTCAAATTTCAGGAAAATCGCGGAAAATCATTTTTCACTTTATTGCAGTTGCCCTTTTTTTTGGAAAAAAAAAGTTCACCATGTTCTTCCGGCTTGCTCTCAGTAACAGTAGGAAGAGGCGCGGCAGGTTTTTTCGCCGGCTTAGCTGTGAGCAATCTGACCTGAAAATATCGAGATGAGAGAAAAGAATACATTTCAGTATGAACAGGAACTAATTCTGGTGATTTTTAATTCCAAGGATCACAGGAAATCCTGGAAACTTCTCTGGAACAGCCTCGAATCATTAGTGAATTAGCTGAGCCCCTCGTGAACTCTAATTCTCAGAAATACAAGTCTCATTAATTTTTTTCAACAATTGTTCACAAATTAAGGTTTAAATGTTAAATTTTTTTGTTCAAATCCTCAGAAAAATTATAGACTGGATTTTTATTCAAATTTTTGATTAATCCAGTTTCATGAGTCTGAGGTATAGTCTTTTTCACAGTCTAGATTCAAAAAAAGCAAGTCCAACATTATCAATGCTCTTTTTCTGCAAATTTAGGTTTTTTTGAGTGCTCAAAAATCACATTTTTTTAAAAATAATTTATGAACTTGCTTAGGGAACACCGCACACTTTTTAACATTCGAAACCCAACAATCGAAAAAGAAAAGGAACTGTTGGGGTTAGTTAATAAAAAATTAAAAAATATGTCTGGAATGTCCCAATTTCTCTTTAACCTCAATCTTTAGGCGGGTAGAGTTTCTCTTGAAAGCTCATAGTCTGTTCAAATTTTAAATGTCAAGTCGTCACTCAAGCTCCGCCCCTAATGGTGCGATAAACCAATCAGAGAGCGAGCCATCCACAGAGTGTTTTTGAATGACGTCATTGCACTTGACATTAAAAATCTGAAAAGACTATAAAGGCCTTCACCGGAACTTAAAGGCCCTCACCGGTAAGACACAAAAATCCATCTTTTTGTGAAAATAAATTTCGAATGTCTTGAAAATTTTATTATTGCTGCTAACAGCAATGGTGAAGGTTGAAGGTTTTTTTGGAAAATGACACACAAACAGTTTCGAACGAAAAAAAGTGCATTTAAAATAATTATGACGAAATTAACTTCTTTAGAAAAACAAGTTTAAAAAGTGTTTCATAGCGTTTTTACTTTATAAAAAGACATATCAAAACATCGGGATGTTGCTTTTAGTCAATGAACAGGAAAATTTTTCGTAAAAATAAATCCGTAAAAAGCCGAAATCTTGCAATTTAAATTTTTCCAATAAATTTGGGGTGCTATAACTTCGGAACAAGCACGTTAATGCAGAGA